ATTTTTGATTTATTGTAGAGATGAGGTCTCACCAAGTTGCTCGGGCGGGTCTCGAACCCGTGGGCTCAGGCAGTCCACTCACAGCCTCCCAAAGGCGCGGGATTACGGGCTGAGCCACCAAGCCTGGCTTCTTTTTTATTTTTGAAAGACTGTCACACTATGTTGCCCAGGCTGACCTCAAACTCTTGGGCTCAAGTGTTCCTCTTGCCTCAGCCTCCTGTTTTGCTGGGATTAAAGGCATGAACCACCAAGATTATCCTGTTTTCATATAGTTCCTTCTCTGAAGTCCTGTGTCTGTTCTTTGAACTTCTTTTTTCCTAGAGCTGACGGTCATAGACTGTTGCTCATGACCTCCCCCCATATCTCTGACTTTCATATGGCAGGTTTCTTTGTGATCGCTTCTCTTCAGGGAGCCCTGCAGGTTGGCAAAGAACAGTGCAGCGGCCCAGAGCCCCTGGCTGGTTGGCCAGTTGGGCTTTTGTCCGTGGCTTGTTTTGTCCAGGAGGGTGTTGCTCCCTGCCAGTCCTTTATTCTGAAGCCCCTGCTGTGCAGCCTGCCTCCCTCTTCCTCCTCCCCTCCTTGGTAAACTCCCAGAGTGGCTCCTCCCTCAGCTCTCCTAGTCCCTGCCCCTGCGGTAGCCTGTGTCTTAGGTCAGGAGCTTCCAGTTGTTGGCTTCTGAGCTTGGTGGCTTGTAGGCGTCAGACATGTGGAATGCTGGCCGAGAGGCAGTTTTCCATGCATTTCTGAAGGAGGCGTGGGGAGTGCCTTTCTGTGCCACCTTCAGCCACGTCTGGTGCTGCTGCTTGCTGAGCAAGGCTGCAGCAGACCCTAGAGGCTCTTTGACTCCTGCCAGTTTTCTCTCTCTTAGAATCCATTCCTATCTAAAATTCCATGGGTCTCCATTTAAATCAGGGGTCCAGCAGATGGCTGCCCAGCCCACTGGCTTTTGTGGCTAAAGTTTTATTGGCACAGAGTCGTGACCGTGCGTTTGCACATCATCTTTGGGTGCTTTCCCAATACACAGAAACTGTGTGGCCCACTGAACCTGATGATTTACTAGCTGCCCTTTTATAGAAAAAGTGTGCCAGGGCTGGGCATGATGGCTCATGCCTATAATCCCAGCACTTTGAGAGGCCTGGGTGGGAGGATCACTTGAGGCCAGGAGTCCGAGACTAGTCTGGGCAACATAGTGAAACCCCATCTCTACTAAAATAAAACATTTTTTTAAAGTTTGCCAATCCCAAGTCTAAAGTATTCAGAGTCTCACTTGTCCCCTGATTTCTTCCAGGCCTAGGAATCTGTTAATTATACTAAGTGTACACAGATGTACACAGGAGGTGGGTCCCAGCATTCTGGTGGTGCTGTGGAGATGTCCTCTTCAGGCTGTCTGGCCTCACTCCCAGAGCCCAGCTTGAGCCTTTGAAGAGGGCCCCAGGAACACATAGTTGTGTTACATCCCTAATAACTACACAGACCGATTTACTCTGCAGATTTTCAACCCACACTGTCATGAATGGTTTCAGATGTTGACGTCAAGCAATACTTGGGATGATTAGATAGCAGTTCCGTCTGATAAGTCGTCTCCTCTTGGTGACAGTATAATGCTGTCACTCCTAAAATGTGTTCATCAAGTGTTTTGTCCAAGGAGAAAACAGCACTTCAGCGTCCACGTTTCTGCCGGGCTGGGACTCAGGGTGATCCCTCAGGCCCTCATTTTACCCAGCCAGAGACCCACACCTGGGTCGAGGCAAGATGGAGCCTTGAAGTGCTGTGAGGCTTAAGAGGACCAAAAGGCCCGATACAAAATTTTTGAGACGCTCAAGTCCAAGTCTGCAGATAGAAATTTTTAAAAGGACTTCAAACAGATATGCCAAAAAGTCATTAGGATTTCATGGGTAGTTCCAGGTAAATTGTACCACATACGTTCAAAAGAGGTCACCATTATTTCATGTCTCACTAAAAGGGAGAAAACCTGACAATTACCTGTAAAATACCATTAACTGTGATGCATATTTAAGATATTAATATGCAAAATCTGGAATTTCAGTTACTCTGGTTTTCAACATACTCTAGAATGAAAAATTATATTACTTTTACAATTAGGAAAACATTAAAAGTATACCATGATAATCATTTAAAATAAAAAGTTTCTAGGCACAAATGAGAGCACCACTGGCCATACCTCCTGGTCTCCAGGGCTGGGCATGGAGCAGAATGAGGTGGTGTGTGACCTCACCACCGCGTCTCATGGGACTTTACTACTCTATCCTGTGGAATCTCACAGCACCACTTCTCCTCTCTTCCTTCCATGCTTGAAGTCAAGTGCCACGTGATTCCAGATTTTTTTTTTTTAGTTGGGGGTCTCACTCTGTTACCCAGGCTGGAGTGCAGTGGCACAACCTTCCACCTCAGCTTCCAGAGTAGCCGGGACTACAGGCACACACTGCCATGTCCTAATTTATTTATTTATTTTTTTGTAGAGTTGAGGTCTTACTATGTTGCCTAGGCTAGTCTCGAACTCCTGGGCTCAAGTGATCCTCTCGCCTCTGCCTCTCACAGTACTAGGATAATAGGTGTGAACCTCTGCCCTGCTCCAGATTGTTTGGAGATGCATATTCAGTTGTAAAATCCAGTAAGGAGTTGAGAAGGAACAAGATGCAATCGTCTTTAACGTCTTAAACTCTTGTTGTGTGCTATCTTGTTCACTCAAGTCTAGCCCATCCTTTCGCTACCTGGGGCTTTCTTTGCTTTCTTTTCTTTCTTTGTAGAGGAAGAAGTGAAGCTGGCTAGGTTAAGTGAGCTCTGGCACCAGCTTCCTGCTGGCTGCAGAGCTCATGAGGTTCTTTTTCTAAAATCATTATAATCGATTTGCAGAAGCTGTGGTAAATGCTGCATTATTCCCCATGTTGACCTCCTAAACCTGAGGCGCTGAGGGGCATAGAAGCCTGGAGCCAATGCCTGTCTTTTTCTCAGGTCACTACTACGTGCCGCTTCTAAGAGCAGAAGACACTTCTCCAGTCATCGGGGAGCTGTGGTCCTCAGACCAAACAGCTGAGGTCTCTCATGTCAGCCGCTATGGGGGCAGTCCCAGAGACCCTGTGCTGACCCTGAGAGCCTTTGCTGGGCCCCTGAGTCCATCCAAGGTGAGCTGCTGTGGAAGCTTCTGGAACCAGCTTCTGAGTGTCCCACACCGCAGTGCAGAATAATCTATCCTATAGCTTTATGCTTGGAGTTAGGGACCAGGTCTCATGGAACCTCAGAGTCATCCTTGCCTAAAACCATTGATCGGTGAGTTGGTGACGAGGTTTCACAACATGTACCGGAGAAATCCATGTTCCCGGCCTTGCTTCCTGCGGGTCAGGGTGGATGTACAGGGAGCTCACACTTTATGGAGAGACAGGGCCCTGAGCCAGCCCTGTCCTGCGAGTGTCGTCCCCTTTTTTCTGTCCACATCAATGACCCGTCTCAGCTCCTTCCAGTTCACCTCTGGACTGAGTTTCCCCCGGGGTCATGGCTCCCGCATCTCCTCCTTTCTTTCATATGTGCCCAGGCCTCAGCCCCTTAGGGCTTGACCCAACCCTGATGCTCAGGCCCTTCGTGGTCGTGTTGCTGGGTCAAAGGTTATACACATTGTGTATAACACATTGTCAGGTTTACAATTGGCAACTCTTTCTCCTACTGAAGTATTTCATACACTGACCTGTTTGTCACCTCGTGCTAAAACCCTTCAACTCTAAAATTATCTCCAAGGCTAGGTGTGGTGACTCAGCCTGTAATCCCAGCACTTTGGGAGGCCGAGGTGAGAGGATTACCTGAGCCCAGGGGTTCGAGACCAGTCTGGGCAACTTGGTGAGACCTCATCTCTACAGTAAATCACAAAAACTAGTCGGGCGTGGTGGCGTGCATCTGTACTTAACACTTACTTGGAAGGCTGAGGTGGAAGGATCTCCTAAGCCCAGCAGGTCAAAGCTGCAGTGGCCGTGAGCATGCCACTGCACTCCAGCCTGGATGACAAGAGTGAGACTCCAACTCAAAAAAAAAATGTATCCAAAATGAGGTGGTATTAGAATTAGACCAGTTCCATAAAACATAACCTCTATAGAGAGACTCAAAGATAAATACTGATTTTCTTCTCATGTGAAAGGAAGAGTATTATTTGTGCTGTGGGAGTGGCAGCTCCAAGATATCTGCTATGCTCAGGGGAGGCCTCGTGTGTGGGCACTTCTGGAGCAGACCTGACCCTCAACCCAGGCCAGGCCACAGGAGAAAAGACTGCCCTCCCTTAAAGAGCAGAGACCCCCTCCCTCACGAAGGCTGGAGTAGGTGTGCAGCCATGTGGCCCAGGGTTCTGTTAACAAAGCGGGAGAGAAAGGATGTGGAGAGACAGGCACGGCCCACGATGCTCGTGGTTCTTTAGGTTTCCCTGGGTGGACTGCACAATAACACAGCATGTCTTAATCCTTTTTTTCTTCATAGGCAGAAGATTTTCGCAAACTCTGGAAAACTCCACCGCGAGAGAAAGCAGGCTTCTTTCACAACGTCAGGAAATCTGATCCAGAAAGAGGCTTTGAGAGAGTGGGAAGGTACTTTCAGGGCTGCACAGTGATACTGTGGAGGGTGCTCATGGCTATGGGCTGAAGGATGATGATGGCTGCTTTCAAAGCACTCGTTCCCAGGAATCACTGACTGGGAGATTCTGTTCTTTTCATTAAGGTCTAATTCCTTGTAAATGTTGTACACACTGCAACTTGTATTGCAGAATTATCACTTAAAACAGTCCTTTCCCAGACGTTAGAGCAATTCTGCAACATATTTCTAAGGGATCTTAATATTTTGCATAAGGTACTGGCTGAATGGATGTTTTCTTGGGGGGGGGGAGGGAATAATGAAACATGCTCCCTCTGTATAAAACACAGAGAGGCAGGCAGGTGTGGCTAGAAACGGGGGAAAGAAAGGTGACTGGGCAAGGTGGCTCAAGCCTGTAATCCCAGCACTTCGAGTGGCCAAAGCAGGAGAACTGCTTGAGGCCAGGCATTCAAGACCAACCTGGACAACATAGTAGACCCTGTCTCTACAAAAAATTTTAAAAATCAGCCAGGTGTGGTGGTGCACATCTGTAATCCCAGCTACTTGGGAGGCTGAGGTGGTAGGATTGCTTGAGCCCAGGAAGTCGAGGCTACAGTGGCCTGTGATTGTGCCACTGCACTTCAGCCTGGGCAACAGAGTGAGATCCTGTATTAAAAACAAAAATGTTTAAAAGTCCTCAACCACAAAACTGGATAGTCAAACAAAGCTTTGTGGGGTTCTCAAAATAAGTGCCCAGTTTCAGATTTACAACTTGAAGCTGAAGAGTCCCTCTAAATGTTTATGTGTCTGGCTATAACTGGAATCACGTACAACTTCATAGAGTCGTTTCATGGAAATGAGAAAGTAAATTTGTTGGTAGAGTTTTACTGTTTGACCTTTTATCATGATGTGTGTTGGTTGGTGTGAGGGTGTGCTTGGGCTGAGGCCTCCTTTCTTCCAGTGGTGAGTTCACTCAGTCACATGAAGCTCTTCAGGGGAGAACTGTGCTGGGTTCTGGTTATCCTGTTAAGAGAAATGCAGAATGTTTGGTTTTGGGGGGGGCGGTTGAGTCGGAGTCTCACTCTGTCACCCAGGCTAGAGTGCAGTGGCATTCTCATGGCCACCACAGTCTCAACCTAGTGGCCTCAGGTGATCCTTCCACCTCACCCTTCCAAGTAGCTGGTACTTCAGGCCTGCACTACTGCACCCGGCTACTTTATTTATTTATTTATTTATTTATTTATTTTTTTTTTTTTTGAGTTGGAGTCTCACTCTGTCGCCCAGACTGGAGTGTAATGGCCGCTCCCAGCCACTGCAAGCTCAACCTGCTGGGCTCCAGCGATCCTTCCACCTCAGCCTTCCAAGTAGCTGGAACTACAGGCATGCTCTACCACGCCCAGCTAATTTTTTGATTTATTGTAGAGATGAGGTCTCGCCAAGTTGCCCAGGTGGGTCTCGAACCCGTGGGCTCAGGCAATCCACTCACCTCAGCCTCCCAAGGCACGGGATTACAGGCTGAGCCACGGAGCCCAGCTAATTTTTTGATTTATTGTAGAGACGAGGTCTCACCATGTTGTCCAGGTTGTTGTTGAACCCCTGGGCTCAGGCAATCTCACCTCAACCTCCCAAAGTGCTGAGATTAAAGGCATGAGCCACCATGCCTGGCTTGAACATGCAGACTATTTGAACATGATAAACCTGAACAAGGAAAAATGACTTTAAAAAAAAAATCCAAAATACTATTTTAGCCCCAACTTAAGGATAAAATAAAGTTATAACCAAGACTGTAGACATTGTTTTGGCACTTGGAGCATTAGTGGCTATTTTGTGTATAGTCAGTTCTGTGAGAGTTTTTACTGGTTTCATAACTGGTTAATTGTGTCTTATTTCTTACAGGGAGCTAGCTCATGAGCGGGGGTATCCCTGGGTTGAATACTGGGAATTTCTGGGCTGTTTTGTTGATCTGTCTTCCCAGGAGGGCCTGCAAAGACTAGAGGAATATCTCACTCAGCAGGAAATGGGCAAAAAGGCTTGCCAAGGCACAAGAGATGAGGCAGCCTACTGCCCACACGGGGCTCCCACCCCAGGTAAGTGAGCGTGCAGCCACAGGACGTTCTCATCTTGCTCCTGTTGCTGTGTAAAAGTGGGATACTTTTCCTTAGGTCAGTGCTAAGAAGGGTGTAGGTGTGCACGAAGAACACACTTAACTGCATGCAGCATTGCTCTTTCTGCTTCAGCTTGTTTTACCCATGTGTAGCTTCATTCTGTGCCATTTTCCCAAAACTCAAAAGCTGAACTCCGCGAACTGAGAGGATAATATTTTAGAGCTGGCATGTGTTCAGGAAAGGAGAGGAGGACCGCATGCCAGAATACCAGCGTGCATTTATCAGACATCAGGTCAAAGTGCTTTAAAAGCACAAAAGCAGTGAATGGAAGAGCTTCCTTTCACTACACAAAACTTAAAAGTAACTCATTAAAAACATCAACAACATTAAAATAAGGATAATATAAAGAGTAAAAAAAGACAAAAGTACTTCAAAGTGACATGAGCAAGAGTCTCCAAAGTAGATAAAAGAATGTATCTTACTAGTGATAAGAGAAATACACCTTTAAAACAGTGTAGACCGACCGGGCTTGGTGGCTCAGCCTGTAATCCCAGCACTTTGGGAGACCGAGGCGAGTGGATTGCCTGAGCCTGCGGGTTCAAGACCAGCTCAGGCACCTTGGCAAGACCTCATCTCAATAATACATCAAAAATTATCTGGGCGTGGTAGTGCACACCTGTAGCTACTTGGAAGGCTGAGGCAGAAGGATCGCTGGAGCCCATCAGATCAATGCTGGGGTAGCAGTGAGTGTGCCACTGCACTCCATCCTGGGAAATGGAGTGAGACTCCAACTCAAAAAAAAAAAACAGTGTAGACCAATGAGAGGAGGGCCCATGACCAGTGAGGTTCTCACATACCCAAACACACCATAGAGTGTTGTCCCATCCCTAGGAAGCAGCCTGCATGGTCCAAAGAGCCAATTCCAGGGAGAGAGGCAAGAGAGCAGGTCGCCCAGCAGTGTTTATGAAACCGTAAAAACCTGGCCAACAATTGAGGATTGGTTGAAAATTTGTTCTGTTCATCTGCAGAGTTGAAAATCATGTTTTCAGCTGGGCGCAGTTGCTCATACCTGTAATCTCCCAGGCGAGAGGATTGCCTGAGCCCAGGAGTTCAGGGCCAGCCTAGGAGGCAACTTGTCAAGACCTCGTTTCTATAATAAATCAATTAGCCAAGGCAAGAGGATTGCCTGAGCTCAGGAGTTCGAGATCAGCCTGGGCAACTTGGTGAGACCTCATCTCCACATAAGTCAAAAAATAAGCTGGATGTGGTAGCATGCGCGTGTAGTTCCAACTACTTGGGAGGCTGAGGCAGAAGGATTGTCTAATCCCAGCAGGTCAAGGCTGTGGTAGCCGTGAGTGTGCTGCTGCAATCCAGCCTAGCAACAGAGTGAGACTCCAAAGCTAAATTAATAAATAAGCCGGGTGTGGTGGCATGCACCTGTAGTCCCAGCTACTTGGAAGCCTGAGGCGGAAGGATTGCCTGAGCCCAAGGCTGCAGTAGCCATGTGTCACTGCACTCCAGCCTGGGCAACAGAGTGAGACTCAGGTGCAGAAAACAACAAAATTCATGTTTTTAGAGAATACTAAATTATGTGGAGCACTGTTTACAATTAACGGGTAGGAAAAAACGAGAAAACTACATAATTTCTGTTAATTTGTTAAACGTATTTGCACAGGAGAAAATGCTGGGGTGTTCACAGCCTTCCCCTGTTGGGAGCATGGCTCCCTTGAAAACGTTTTCCAAAGCCAGGCTCGGTGGCTCAGCCTGTAGTCCTGCGTTTTGGGAGGCTGAGGTGAGTGGATGGCCCTGAGCCCACGGGTTCGAGACCCGCCTGGGCAACTTGGCGAGACCTCATCTCTACAATAAATCAGAAAATTAGCTGGGTGTGTTAGTGCGTGCCTGTAGTCCCAGCTACTTGGAAGGCTGAGGCGGAAGGATCGCCGGGGCCCACCAGGTCGAGGCTGCAGGGACCGGGAGCGGCCACTGCACTCCAATCTGGGTGACAGAGTGGGATTCCAACTCAAAAAAAGAAAAAAAAAAACATTTTCCAGATTTCCAGACTAGCACATATCAATCTGTGATCAGAAGAAAATTTAAAATCTAAAACAAAACAGTGAACGGAAATGAATTGGAGGAAGCCCAGGGAAGAAGGGAGAGAGGAACCACCATTGAGTCAGTCCCTGCAGCTTTCTCCCAGATGCGCTTCTGTCCTAACTGGCATAGACCTGCGTCCTCCTCCCCTGGCAGGGCCTCTGCTGTGGCCATATCCCAAGGAGCCTGTAGCTCATGAGGGAGCACTTCCCAGGGAGCCTATGGTCCATGAGAGAGCATTCCCAGGGAGTTCACAGCCTCTGAAGGAGCACTTCCTGGAACGAGGGCCTGTGAGGGAGCAGCCCCCAGGGAGCCCCAAGCTTGTAAGGGAGCTGCTCATCACTGCTGAAACGATTGAACCCTTGGTCCAGTAGGATCTATTGGAACGTCACGTTTCATCTTAGAAAAGCTTTTGTGGACCTGTCATGCCAGCACTTTGGGAGGCAGAGGCGAGAGGATTGCCTGAGCCCAGGGGTTCAAGATCAGCCTAGGCAAGTTGGTGAGACCTCGTCTCTACAGTAAACCAAAAAATTAGCCGGGTGTGGTAGTGCATGCCTATAATTCCAGCTATTTGGAAGGCGGAGGAGGAGGGATTGCCTTAGCCCAAAAGGTCAAGGCTGCGGCGGCTATGGACTTGCCTCTGCACTCTAGCCTGGGCCACAGAGTGAGATTCCAACTCAAAAAAGAAAAGCTTTTGTCAGTATCAGAAATAAAACTGAACAAGTAAGCTGTGTTAAACACAAAGTAGTTTTTTAAAAAAATGCAGAAACTTGCTAATAGAGATTTGAATCTGCCGAAGTAAAAACTTAAAACACATGTACAATAAAGGCTAAAATTGAGCCATGAGCCCACAAGGCACTTAATTTACAAAATAAACTTCTTGAAATGATGAGAAGAAAATGAAAACGATCCACACGTACATTGCATTAAATTTAAAGAAACAATTCTTAAGTCTAAAACATGTAACTAGAGAGAGACCTAGCACTCGTGACCCTGGACGCATTCACATCTGACTTTGTTGTACTGGAGCGGATGGTGGTGCCTAACTAACTTCTCTGTTGTCTCGTGTGACTGCTTACGTTTCAGTTAAATAAAGTTACCACCTTTCATAAGCCACACTTCATTTCACGTGCTCAGTAGCCGCATGGTCTGGGGCTGCTATCTTGAACACCAGAAACAGGATGTGTGTTATCTGTTGGACAGCACTGCTCTCCAGTCGTTCTTATGTATTGTATTCACAGAATACAGAAGTGAGCTGTACTGCCACATGGCCTTGTTCTAGGCAATCTTGCAGAGCCCTGCAGGGCATCCTGACACTCAGAGCCCCTGGGATCCCACATTAGAGCTGGAGGGTAGTGGGGGTGTGGCCGTCACCTACCCAACACCTGGTTCTGCCTGTGGCCTTCCTTGACATTGTCCTGCCTTTGAGGGAGGAGAGCCAGGCCTGGAAGCTTTGTTTCTGTGTGCCGCCTCCTACTCGCCCTTTCCAAGGAGTCACGTGGGTGGTTTTGGTGTTGAGATTGGATGAGGAGGTTGTGGATGTAAGAGTCACATGTAGCCGGGCTTGGTGGCTCAGCCTGTAATCCCGTGCCTTTGGGAGGCTGAGGTGAGTGAATTGCCTGAGCGTGGGGGTTCGAGACCTGCCTGGGCAACTTGGCGAGACCTCATCTCTACAGAAAATCAAAAAATCAGCCGGGCATGGTAGTGCGCGCCTGTAATTCCGGCTACTCGGAAGGCTGAGGCGGAAGGATCGCTGGAGCCCAGCAGGTCGAGGCTGTGGTGGCCAGGAGCGGCCACTGCACTCCAATCTGGGCAACAGAGCGAGACTCCAACTCAAAAAAAAAAAAAGTCACATGTTGCTTGGGTCTCAGAAATCCGTCCCGAGCTGGAGCGGCCAGCCCCTGTCCATACACTAACTGCTCCTTTGTCACCCTCACAGGCAGCGGCCCGAAGTGCAGCAATTCCATTTCTGTGCGGGCTTTTCTAGATGAAGATGACATGAGCTTGGAAGAAATTAAAAATCGGCAGAACACGGCTCTAAACAATAGCCAGCCCGCACTCAGTGCTTTTGCGAGCTCAGGCTGTAGCACCCGCTCCTTGGGGCAGAAAGCAGACTTCATAGAAGCCGCAGAGCCCCGCCGTGCCCCCAGCAGCAGAAATGGTCTCTGCAGCCGCCGGAGCCACAGCGAGACACCAGCTGGGAAGCGGCTAGAGGTGCCCGGTGGGAGAGAAGCCCATCCGTCACCTGGCTCCGGCTTGACTGCGTTTGATGAACTGAGCCTGCAAAACCCAGGCCATGGCTTTTCCAAGACACCAAGCGAAAATATCATGGAAACCAAAGACGAGAAGGTTCTGACTCCAAGAACGGATGCAGTGGAAAGTGACTTGTTAGCACCTCCTGCTGCTGCTGGCCAACTGGGGAATAACCAGAGGACAGAAAGTGAAATGTCAGCCAGGATTGCCAAAATGTCCTTGGGTCCCAGTGGCCCCCAGCGTGAGGCCCCGCTCGGGTGTGGTCCCGAGTCCCAGGCTGTGCCACCTCCTGTGTCCCCCCTGGCCACAAGGGAACCCGCCAAGAGGCTCTTCCTTTTTGGGTAGGAGTGTGCTGCTGTGTGGGTGCTTGTGGCACTGTGTGTAGTTCCTTTAAACTTTTTCTCTTCCCACAATCTGACTTGACCTGCACTTGGGGTTCCCGTCTCTGAGTCTGTAACTTCCGAGTGTCCTTCAGGGTCTTCTTCCAGTTGGACTGTGGCTAGTCCTGGTGTCTTGTGTTACTTGCTAGGGAAGGACAGGCCACGAGAATGAAAGAATGTATTTAAAACAAGTCCAGAATTTGTTTGAGGAAGAAAACCCATATTGGGGTCAGTCTCAGTCCTCCAGGTGGCAGAAGTCCCAGCCTAATGTGTCTTCTGAAGTGGAAATATGCAAAGCGTGTTTTAACAGCAGGCGGGTCCGCTGCCACAGAAAGCCCAGCTGGCGTCCAGCAGGGTCTTGAAGACCTGCCTCTCCTGCATTCTCCTCATGGGACAATGAGTCCTCATCCACCTCCCTGAGTTTGGGGACACCTCCCACTGCAGATTGGCCCATGGTTCCCTGGAAGTTAATGCCCTGAGACACTTGGGACTGTTCAGTAGTTACACATGCTCAGGCCAGATTTATTCTTCCACACTCTTGTTGTGTGCTGGGTTCTTTTTTTTTTTTGAGTTGCAGTCTCACTCTTGCACAGGCTGGAGTGCAGTAGCACACCCATGGCCACCCCAATGTCAACCTGCTGGGCTCCAGTGATTCTTCTGCCTCAGCCTTCCATGTAGCTGGAACCACAAGCAAGTACCACCATGCCCAGCGAATTTTTTTGATTTATTGTAAAGACAAGATCTCCCATGTTGCTCAGGCTGGTCTTGCACCCCTGAGTTCAAGCAGTCCTATCATCTCCACCTTCTTGAGATTACAGGTGTGAGCCACCAAACCCAGTTTTGGTTCTTGAATGTAGTGAGGGCTGGGAACTTGTAATCCCAGCACTTTGGGAGGCCAAGGGGGAGGGATTTGCTTGAGACATGATTGTAACATTTCACTCGAGCCTGGGTAACAGTGAAAGACCCTGTATCTAAAAAAATCGTTAATAAAGATAAAAATTTTAGCCGGGCTCGGTGGCTCAGCCTGTAATCCCGTGCTTTGGGAGGCTGAGGTGAGTGGATTGCCTGAGCCTGCGGGTTCGAGACCCGCGTGGGCAACTTGGCGAGACCTCATCTCTACAATAAATCAAAAAATCAGCCAGGCATGGTAGCGCGTGCCTGTAATTCCGGCTACTCGGAAGGCTGAGGCGGAAGGATCACCGGAGCCCAGTGGGTTGAGGCTGCAGTGGCTGGGAGTGGCCAGTGCACTCCAGTCTGGGTAACTGAGTGAGACTCCAACTCAAAAAAAAAAAAAAAGATAAAAAATTTTTTTTAATGTAGTGATATAGCTGGGCTTAGTGGTTCACACCTGTAATGCCAGCACTTTGGGAGGCCAAGGCGAGAGGATTGCCTGAGCCCACTGGTTCGATACCAGCCTGGGCACCTTGGCAAGACCTTGTTTCTACAGTAAATCAAAAAATTAGCCAGGCGTGGTGGTATGTGCCTATAGTTCCAGCTACTTGGAAGGCTGAGGTGGAAGGATCACCTGAGCCCCAAACAGGTTGAGGCTGTGGTGGCCATGAACATGCCACTACATTCCAACCTGGGTGACAGATTGAGACTCCGACTTAAAAAAAAAAAATGCAGTGATATTTTAGGACTAGGTATGGTAGCTCACACCTGTAATCCCAGAACTTTGGGAGACCTAGGTGGGAGGATTGTTGGAGGCCAGGAGTTTGAAACTGGCTTGAGCAACACATGAGAATTTAGCTCTTCAAAAAAATTTTTTTTAATTAGCTGGGCATGGTAGCATGTGTTATAATCTCAACTACTTGGGAGGCTGAGGCAGGAGGATCTCTTGAGCCCAGGTCAAGGCTGCAGTGAGCTGTGATCGTGCCACTGCACTGCAGCCTGGCGACAGAGTGAGACTCCAACTCAAAAAATAAAAAATTAAAAAAAAAAATGTAGTGATATTTCTGATGTCTGGTTTTTTTTGGGGGGAGGGGTTGTGAGTTGGAGTCTCATTCTGTCACCCAGGCTAGAGTGCAGTGACACACTCACGGCTACCCCAGTGTTGACCTGCTGAGCTCCAGCAATCCTTCCTCCTCAGCCTTCCAAGTAGCTGGAATTACAGGCACACACTACTGTGCCTGGCTAATTTTTTATTTATTGTAGAGACAAAGTCTGACCAAGTTGCCCAGGCTGGTCTCGAACTCACAGACTCAGGCAATCTACTCGCCTCGGCCTCCCAAAGTGCTTGGATTACAGGCTGGGCCACCGAGCCCTGCCCCTGATGTCTGTTTTTTTAAACAAAGGTGTTTTTGCTTTTTCTCGAATCCCTCTTGTTATGTATTCCAGAGAAGAGCCATCGAAACTCGACCGGGATGTGTTGGCCGCTCTGGACTGTGCACACATCGACCCTCGTCAGTACCCCGCTGTCCACAGGTGGAAGAACTCCGTCCTGTGCTACTCCCCATCAGACAGACAGAGGTACCCGTCGGACCCCAAAGAACCATCTGGCTTGTCCCAGGGTGGTTACTGGAAGCTAGCTTCTGGGATGCTTCGGCTCTAGTTCATGTGAATGAGCTGGTGGTGGCAGTCCCCCGGCTAGAAGTCCCCTGGCTAGGTTCACATGTGTGGCTCTCTGGCATAGCCTGAGCTCACTGTTGTCACGTCTCTCTCAGGTGGAAAAACAGATGGATCTGCTGCCGGCAGGCTGAGGGTGTCGGGTGGACACAGCCAAGACTTACATCCTAGGTCACGTGGGATTCTTGTGGAAGATTGGAAGATCCATATGTACTTTTTTGTGGGCTTGGTTTTGTTTTATTGAGTTGGGGTCTCACTCTGCCTCCCAGGCTGGAGGGCAGTAACATGATCACAGCTCACCACAGCCTCGCCCTGCTGGGCTCAGGAGATCCTTCCACCTCAGACTCCTGAGTAGCTGGGACTACGGGCGTCACCACCACGCCTGGCATATTTTTTAATTTTTTGTAGAGACAAGGGCTTGCTATCTTTCCCTGGCTGGTCTCTAACTCTTGGGCTCAAGCAATACTCTTGCCTTGGCCTCCCAAATTGCTAGGATCATAGGCGTGAGCCACCTCTTCTCTGCTGGGTACATGTGCCCAGATGCCCAGCCGATGTCCTCCCTACACCATTAATTCACTGTTGCTCTCTGAATGCACCTGTCTGCTAACAGACCTTTCTTGGTTTCCTTAGTTGGTCAAGCCCTGCGCTGAAAGGAAAGTTCAAGTCTCAGCTGTCGGATCTTGGCTGCACTTACAGCTACAGCCTGGGGAGGAGCGGTGCCACCGGGAGCAGCCCCGGGAAGCCTGGTCTGGGCAGCCCTGGGCGGTACAGCCCCGCGCACGGGAGCCCGCTCCGCAGGATGGCTCACCTTACCGAGCTAGCAGCCCTGTAGGTCGGTGATGGGCTATTTCATTTTTCATTTGTAAAGAAAGGGTAATGTGTTGCTAAAATTTCACAGAAGAATTTATTCTGATTAACTTATTAATCCTCACTTTGAGGATAAGAATAAGAATTTTAGAAATTCAGATGTTCTGTATAAAGTTTAGATTTCTAGCCGGGCTTGGTGGCTCAGCCTGTAATCCCGCGCCTTTGGGAGGCTGAAGTGAGTGAATTGTCTGAGCCCGCGGGTTCGAGACCCGCCTGGGCAGCGAGACCTCATCTCTACAATAAATCAAAAAATTAGCCGGGCGTGGTAGCACGCGCCTGTAGTTCCAGCTACTCGGAAGGCTGAGGCGGAAGGATCGCTGGAGCCCAGCAGGTGGAGGCTGCAGTGGCTGGGAGCGGCCACTGCACTCCAGTCTGGGCGAGAGTGAGACTCCAACTCAAAAAAAAAAAAAAAAGTTTAGCTTTCTGGTATTTTGTAAGAAGTTAATGAAAGCAAACTCAGATACAAGTTTTCTGAAAAATGTCAATGCAGTAAGGAAACATACTAGGTCTAAAATGTAGCAGAGAAGCAGGCGCTGAGGCAGGTTACTAACAGGCCATCATGTAGTGACCAGCACATCTGAGTGAACGCTGTGGATTGAGCCATTAGCAGGGACAGCCCTGCAATGCCTGTACTTACTGCAGCTCACCGTTTAGAACAGATGTGTCACGTGTCATTCTGTCTTTCGCGGGGGAGTCCCTTAGGCTTCCTGGTACCTGATGATGTTCAAGTCCCTGCTGGTGGCCAGCTGATCCTCACTGTTCAGATGAAGTGAGAGGACGGATGGCAAGGAGTCAGACCGGAGTGTGTCTCGGACTTGCAGTGATGTGGGTCGTTCATTGAAAACAGTTGAACGATCGATCAGAGTAAGATCTTGGGAGGAGTCTTCTAGCCACTGGGAGTCATGCAGATAGTCACACAAAACTCACCAGCAGTAATTAAGATGCATTTTTATTTCTCACCAGCACTTGAGCTTTCACATCTGCTTCATTTAGTTGCCAGCGTCGTGGTAATAAAATAATCTGTATATTGTTCCCTAGTTTTGAAATGTATTTTGAGGATTCACTGAGCATAAATGATTACATAGCCAACTATATGTCAAATGTATCCTTTATTTTAGAATTCATTTCAGTTGGGATTTCCTCTATAAGAACATTGCGTTGCAGTTCAGAAACTAGAGGTTCATTTGAGTCCATTTTGGTTACATGTGATGTCATCTGTTGTGGTTCTGGCCTGCAGAGTGTGAGGTGCAGGGGCGTAACAGCATAGCGCAGTGCCACGATGTCCAAGGAGACATGACCTCGTGCAAGGATGGTTTCTTCTTGGGTGTCAGCAGACAAAGCAGTCAGCATTCCATAACTATTTCTAGTGTTGAATCCAAAGTGAAAAGCTACCAATGCTTTTGCCAACTTTAGTGCCTTTGGTAAATCATTTTTAAATTCCTTGAACTTCCTTTTTGGAAATATACAATGATAATAAATAAGCATAAGATTGGTTTTGTAGGCCGGGCACAGTGGCTCATGCCTGTAATCCCAGCTCTTTAGGAGGCCGAGGTGAGAGGATTGCCTGAGCCCACGGGTTCGAGACCAGCCTGGGTAACTTGGCAAGACCTCATCTCTAAAGTAAATAAATTAGTCGGTCGTGGTGGCATGTGCCTATAGTTCCAGCTACTTGGAAGGCTGAGGTGGAAGGATCACCTCAACCCAGCAGGTTGAGGTTGCGGTGGCAGTGAGCCACTGCACTCCGGCCTTGGGCACCAGAGACTCCGACTCAAAAAAAAAAGATTGGTTTTGTTTGTAAAAACTCTGAATTGAAACCTGTTTAAAAAAGTTTATTTCTTTCCCATGATGAGAGGTAGGTCAGGAATATAGGAGTTACAATTTAGATTTTAAAATTCTGTTTTGTTACAAAGCGTATTTTCGTTTGTTGTGTCATGAATGAGATCTTCGATGCAAGACAGAAACATGTTCTATTCTAAAAAATTACAGTGTTTTGAAAAGGCATCTTAGTTCTCAAAAGAAAACGACATAGATAGTCATAGTGGTGATCTGTTTACTCTAAAATTTTACCATATTCTGTATATTGTTGTAAATATTCAAACAGAAATTAAAAGTGTTTTTGTTCACATTTTGTAGACTGTTGTCTTGTTTTCTTAAATTTAAGGCATTCTTTGACTACTTCTCCATGTGTTTTTACAAGGCGATGCCAGGTCCAGTGAATGCATTAATGTGTCCCAGGTGACTTTATACATCACTTAATGAAAAAGTTTTTAAGCCCTGTGGTGGCCGGGCATAACAGGTCGTATGATGCCTGTAATCCCAGCACTTTGGGAGGCGGAGGCAAGAGGATTCTTGAGCTCAGGGGTTCAAGACCAGCCTGGGCAACTTGGTGAGACCTCATCTCTTCAATAAATCAAAAAAATTAGCCAGGCGTGGTGCCACATGCCTATAGTTCCAGCTACTTGGAACGCTGAGGTGAAAGGATCACCTGAGTCCAGCAGGTTGAGGCTATGGTGGCCATGAGCATGCCAACCTAGGTGACAGAGTAAGACTCCTACTGAAATAAATAAATACATAAACCCTGTGGTAATAATTCTAAGCTTTCTGAAAGATCTCATGCCTGTGCCTGGGCAGATTGCCCCTTTAAGCGGTGCATGAATCTGGGCATTCTCAGATCTACTTGCTGTCTTTAGCCCCTTTCCTTCCTAACGCCATGGTGGAAACGGGCATCAGCTGAACGAGCATACATTCTATAGCTGCCCCAGCAGCAGGAGGCCTTTCTTATGATGTAGCAATTGGTGTGTCAGTCTGTTTTGAAAGAGGCAATGCACAGCACACTCTGCTATGGTGGGGTGGACGTGAAGGCGAGGCAATGCTGGAAGTCTGTGTGCATTTCTGGGGAAAAGCCAACCAGAGCACTGCCAACAGGACCACTTGCCGACCATGGAAGGACCACACCGAGTCTCTCAGGTGACAACTGGATGTGTGGGAGGGAAGGAGCACGGCCCGTGGAGCCTTGCAGGGCCTCACAGCAGCATCACTCCCAAACCAGGCTTTGTGCTTGGGCTGTGGGAGCCACGTGCTTTTGCTTTTGAGCGTTTACGTCCACAAGCTCTAACTGCAGCTGCCCTTGCTTGTATTCCTTTTAGAGACGTCGCCAGCTGGGCATGGTGGCTCATGCCTATAATCCCAGCACTTTGGGAGGCAGAGGCCAGAGGATGGCCTGAGCCCAGGGGTTCAAGACCAGCCTGGACAATTTGGCGAGACCTCATCTCTACAATAAATCAAAAAATTAGCCGGGCATGGGGGCACACACCTGTAGCCCCAGCTACTTGGAAGGCTGAGGTAGAAGGCTCACCTGAGCCCAGCAAGTCGAGGCTGCGGTGGCTGGCAGAGTGAGACAAAAAATAAAAATCGCCAGGCTTGGTGGCTCAGCATGTAATCCCTCGCTTTGGGAGGCTGAGGTGAGTGAACTGCCTGAGCCCACAGATTCGAGACCCGCCAGGGCAAGTTGGTGAGACCTCATCTCTACAATAAATCAAAAATTAGCTGGGCATGGTAGCACACGCCTGTAGTTCCAGCTACTTGGAAGACTGAGGTGGAAGGATCACCGGAGCCCAGCAGGTCAAGGCTACGGTGTTCGGGAGTGGCCACTGCACTCCAGTCTGGGTGACAGAGTAAGACTCCAACGCAAAAAAATAAATAAATAAAAGAGACCTCATCTCTACAATAAAATCAAAAAATTAGCCAGGCGTGGTAGCGTGTGCCTGTAGTTCCAGCTACTCGGAAGGCTGAGGCGGAAGGATCGCCAGAGCCCAGCAGGTCGAGCCTGCGGTGACCAGGAGTGTCCCACTGCACTCCAGTCTGGGCGACAGAGTGAGACTCCGACTCAAAAAAAAAATAATCAACACTGACACCATAGTCACTCAGGGCAGCAGCTGCCACCCAATGGCATGTCATTCCCACCCATTTCCTTCCACTTCCTGGCATGCCCGCTTCACTCTGGTCAGACGCAGGGTGTGTTGCTATTAATACCTGTGCTGTCTTCCGTCACTTGTCCCAAATCGGGGTGGTTTCCATCATGACACACTGGGTCCCTTTAATGGACCCTGTCCAGATGCCCTCTGCCCTCCCCTGGTGAGGCCTTGCCCAACCCAGAATTCACAACATGCCAATGCGTGTGCTGAAGGTCCCAGGGACTGTCCTGGCATCCGGTCAACCCTGCATTCCTTCATTTGCCCTTCCCCTGCCTTGTTCCTGACCATACCTGCCCTGGGTTCATCACTTAGAAACTGGGTTGCCCCCCAGGTACCAGCTAAGCCAGGAGCTGCCCTCACTGCCAACGCACGTCTCCCAGAGCAAGAGGTCCTCCTTATCTGACCGGAAAAGGCCATTTAAGGAAGAAGCACTTAACAGCAAGCATGTTTTTATTTTTTGAGTTGGAGTCTCTCACTCAGACTGGAGTGCGGTGGCATGCTCATGGTCACTGCAACCTCAACCTACTGGACTCAGGCAATCATTCCGCCTCTGCCTTCCAAGTATCTGGAAGCATAGGCACGTGCCACCACGCCCAGCTAATTTTTTGATTTATTAGAGACGAGGTCCCACCAAATTGCCCAGGATGGTCTCGAACCCCTGGGCTCAGGTAATCTCACCTCCACCTCCCAAGGTGCTGGGATTACAGATGTGAACTGCCACACCTGACTAATATTTTATAATGAATAATGAAAAAGTTTGCTGGGAATTTGTATTAGAAAAGGAAACTGAAAACTGTGAAAAGTTTCATATTCAAGAAAACATATATTACCCTCCATGACCACACTGCCCTGAACACAGCTGATCTCATCTGGTCTCAGAAGGTAACCAGGCTTGGGCCTGGTTAGGACTTGGATGGGAGACTGCCTGGGAATAGCAATGCTGTAGGCTTTCAGAAAAAAGGAAACACAGTTATAATTGCTATGTGCTCTTAGAAAAGAATGACTCAACTCAGTTTTTGGCATAACTTTTCCAAGTCTGAAAGCCTTACTTCGCATCCTTGATCTCAAATCCAGGGGGTGTTGGAAGAAGCACTTGAACACTTCTGGGTTGCTAGTTTCCTGTGATCCAGTGAGGGCTCTTCTCGAGCCCTGAGCCTAGCAGGTATGCCCACATCCGCACTTGAAAGGCTTCATTCCCAGCATGAGCTGGATTCACACTCTGAAATGCGGTTGGGGACTCAGGGCCAGCTGGCCTGTGGCTACTCCCACATCCCGACATTTGGGCTGGGCCCCAACTCAAGGCGAAGGCTTGTTCCTAAGTGCTACCCGATTCCTAGAGGTCTTGCGTCAAGGGGCGTGATGTGCAGGGGGCCTGGGCACTTCTCAGCTGCGACCCTGAGTGCCACTGATTTCCATCTGAGGTCAAACGTACCTGTGACTTTTGGTTTTGAACTTGGTACAGGCCCAGGCTCACTTGTCGAAAATACTTCTAGACAACAGTGCACAGCAGCTGCGGCTGTTGCCTCCAGCCACGGGTCAGGCTTGCTGTCCCGGCCAAGGGTGCCAGGAGGCTCCAGACACTGGCAGGAAGTCCTCTGAGCAGGATGGCCAGGGCGAATACAGGCCAAGCTGTCAGCCCTGGGCATATGAGACACTAGCAAAGGGCTTCCTGGTGACACTACTACTTTGTCACACTGCACAGGTTTCCTGTTTAAAACAGTCACAATTAGTCCTTTAAAAAAAAAAACAGTAAAATTTTATTACAGTTATTTCTAAAGTGGACAGAGAAATTGATCAAATATCCCAATGAGTTGTAATGATTACGGAAAAAGTTCACAACCATGTCATAGAAACTGTACTGTTTTTTCCTAAATTAACAGAACATTTGGAAGAGACACGTGTTTAAATATTTTAACCCATAACCATAAACAATTAGCCAGAGGCAAACTATGATCGAGCTGTCAGCCGGGAACGTTTTACCGAAAAAGGATACTCCTCTCCTCTGAGACCAGCAGGAAGGTCAAAGGTCATGCCACCTCCAGAGATTCGTGTCGTTCCTCAGCTGCCAAGTTCACCTGTGTGTGTCTGGCCCGTCCTCAGGCCTGAAAGGCCTAAAAGGAGGTGAGTTCAGATCCGACCTTGCTGGGACCTCTAACTTTGGAGTGAGAAGCTGGTTTCAAAGCAAGAACCCAAGATGACGAAAGCCTTTAAACGACGAAAGGGTTTTGGGAAATCAAGGTGTGAAGTGAGATGAGCTGTGAACAGAGCCTGGGTCACCCTCCTGCCTGACCGGCTTTGCTGGTGGAGCAGGGGGCCGCGTGGCCAGCTGTGGTCACCAACACAACAGTCTCTGCCAAGCTTCAGTCCCCACAACGGGCCCAACTTCCGCCTGGGAGGTCTCCCCGCACACCGGGACATCTTGGCAGGTGGTGAGGCGGACACCTCGCAGGAAAGTCAAGCTGCCTGAGCCAGACCTCCCTCTTCAGCCTAGGTCAGAAGTCGGGACCCAAACGCAGCATTTTCAGTGCTTCACCTTGCTGCCGGCCTCTTCCTTAGAAGCCACACGAGCCGCGGAGGAGGACAGGGAAGGAGAGGCCGGGGCCGGGTCTTGAGCGGATGAGGGGAAGCCTCCCGGGTGGCCCTCAGGACCGAGTGATCTTGTCAGGGGGCATGAACCCCGTGTCCCCGAGGGTCCTGAGTGCTACTCGGCCGTTGGGTCGGATCACCAGGTGGGTGATGCTGCCATTGTTGAGGGAGAGGCGGAGCCAGCCTTCAGGTGGAAACTGCAGAGCTCTGGAGAAAAGAGAAAGAGCAGGTCACGTGGGCGCTTGGTTTCTCAGGGCGGGCCAGGCCCGCTACTTGGGGCAGGACCGTTCCTACCTCCAAGCAAGGGGCTTCTCGGAGGAAGGAGCTGGCCGAGACCAGTGTCAACGGACCGTCCAACTAGGGATCAGTCCCTCTTTAGGACGAGGGACCGACTCCAACTCCAGACCTGCACGGGAATCAGAACGCTGGCTTCCCCCAAGCCCTACCACTGAGCTTCCACTTTCTGTGTTAACGGATGGGGCAGCTACCCAGCACAGCAGACCCATTTGTGAGGACGCCCGTGTGGGGCTCCCCAGGACCAGACAGAGCTGCTGCCCAGCCCCTGGCACTCCAAGCTCTGAAAGATGCTCTTCAGTCTTATCTGCTGAAACGCACAGGTCGCTGCCGTCTCCTCCTTCACCCGCCAGCCCACCCTCAGGGAGCCGCATCGAGTTCGTCGACCTGAAGCGGCATGACGTCATGCTTTTAACGCCTCCTCACGTCACCCCCCCAGCCAGCAGGGCTCCCCAGACGGGACAGCACAGTGGTCCCACGTGCCGGACGGTGACAGTGTGGCCCTTTCGCCATGTTCTAGCACAGGTCACTTCATGCCCAGCTCCCAAGTACTGCAGCATTCATGTCACCTCCGTGACTGTGTCCTGGGACACACAATAACGTGGTGTCCACACAAGCACAGAAACCACGAAATCACAGCCCACATGCAGGCATGCAAGCGGAAGCAGGGTGGCTCATACAGACCCGTATCTGCTCGATGCTACAGCCTGAGCCGCAGCCCTGTAGGAAGGAGGACCTCCCCCTCTTGGTGGCGCGCACCAGGCCCAGCCACCCCAACCATCAGCAGTGCTCGATCTGGCCTAGAGCCAAGCTGCAGGCTCCCCACATCCTCACGTTCTGGGGCTGCCGCCCTCCTGACCACGGTGCTCCCGGCCACCCCTGGCTCTTGCTGGGATCTTGCCTGCGATATGCCTGAGGGACATGGGTGACCCCACCTGGGACAAACAGGCAGAGACCAGGGCCTGGCTCCAACGGGCAACACAGAACAGCACTGTCCCATCCCGCCCCTGCCAGACCTGTCATCACACACAGGAACTGCAGCTCCTGGCCTCCCATGTTTCCTGACGGGCCTGCGGAGGAGGCAGAAACCCCTTGATCTCAAGTCTGCCTTTTGCCGGATTTCAACATGAGCTTGAACCCGGCCTTGCCACCCAGGGGCCCCCTGTGACATAGCTACGGCCCGGCACGCCCTAGAGAAGCAGCTGCCTCGTATAACCTGAGCCAGAACGTTGTGGCGCGGGAGTGGAGGCCAGGCAGGTCCGGAACACACAGGAGCTGCCAGGGAGCGGCCTGAGCAGCAGAGTGACAGCCACACGTTCACAGTCACAGGCAGGGGGAGCACCAGACATCCACAAGTAAAGCACGTGGGACGCACAAGTCACCACTAGACAGACGCCAGCACCGGGACCAACAGAAGCCGGTGAGCCACGAAGGCAAGAAAGCACGGCCACAGTCCCGAGACGGCCTCAGCAGCAGAGGCAGGCAGCCCAGTCCCGGTGTGCTAAGGCCACATGTGCCAGCCACGCCAGCTGCCACGGGACTGTCGGCTCTAGGCTCCCCATGTCCATACGCCTCTCGAAACGCAGGCAAGAGGACGCCAGAGGGAGGTCGTCCAGACGCCGTCCAGCTTGGGAGGCCGCGACAGCAAGGGCAGCCGAGGGCAGGCAGGGCCGGTGCGTGAGTCCTGCCTGCGCCACGCCTCTGCGCCATGCCTCTCCACACCACCCTCTCCACATCAAGGGGCCGCCCGCCCAGCCCAGCCCGCCCGGCCTCACCTGCACACGATGTAGCGAATGACGTTGGCATGGCAGATGAAGATCTCGTAGCTGTCCTCCTCCTGCTTGGTGTCGGCGCGGTGGATGTAGTTTCTGAAGGCAGCCTCGATTCGGGCCCCGTCCTCGTAATACTGCTGGGGGCAGAGCGGGGCCTCGTCAGTGTGGAAGCCAACGGACAGTGCTGGCGTCAGCAGGACAAAAGCGCCAAGGCCCAGGCAGCCCGAGATGGCTGGGACGCGGACACGGGGTGGGCAAGCCTGCGGGGGCAGCGATGCCTGGGGCGGAGGCCGGGGAGGTGTTTTACCACAGCGTCTGGCTTCCAGTGGGACACGGGCGGGTCTGGCTCGATGGGGGCGCCTTCCCGCAGCAGGTCGGTGCTGACCTTGCAGACGCCTGCAGGAAAGCATGGTGAGCCTGGGCTGCGGCGGACTGTCCCCCCACCGCCCCTGCAGCCTGCACTCACCTGGCAGGTGCCTGCTGATGATGTCAGTGGTCTCTATCGCACGGGTCATGGACGAGTGGACAATTTTATTGAACTTCAGCCCCAGGCTGGCAAGTCGGAGCCCAGTGAGTTCAGCCTGCTCTCGACCTTGAAAGTGAAACACACCTCAGGATTACACGTGCCAGGAACCCCCTTCTCACTGCACAAAGAGTGTAGCCTGGCGAGCACAAGCACGTCCTCGGTCCCACCCTCACAGGGCCTGGGCCTAACAGGGCCAGGCTTTAGATGCGTAAAAGCAGCAAGACAGTGCAGGTACCTCCATGCACAGAGAAAACGCATCTGACTCCACGAACAATGACCACACCTGGCAACCGGCAGCACCAGGGGCCTGTGCACCATCCTCACCCAATCACAACCCAAAACCGAATCTCGGCTCCCCAGGACGCCAGCCACAGGCCGTCAGAGACCATTCCAGGAGAACCAGACTGGATGCCAGTGTGTATCCTCACCCCTCTGGCTTCAGCTGAAAGCACCCTCAGGAAATCAGTGTCCACTGAACTCTGAGGCATCTGTCCACCCCTCACTTCCATCTCTACACGGGAGCCACAGCAGCTCTGCAGGGGAGGGCAGGGCCTGCCGGGGACAGGCCCGCTCACCCCTCCTCTCCGTCTGTCTCTGAACTCGGCCAGGCACAGTGGCTCGGCCTGAAATCCCAGCATGTTGGGAGACCGAGGCGAGATGACTGCCTGAGCTCGGGGGTTCGAGACCGGCCTGGGTAACTTGGTGAGACCTCGTCTCTAGAATAAGTCACAAAAATTAGCCGGGCATGGCAGCGTGCACCTGTAGTTCCAGCTCCTTGGAAGGCTGAGGCGGAGGGATCACTGGAGCCCAGCAGGTCGAGGTTGCGGTGGCCGGGAACGGCCACTGCACTCCAGTCTGGGCAACAGAGTGAGACTCCAACTCAAAGAAAAAAAAAATTTAGCTGGGCATGGTCGCGCACACCTGTAGTTCCAGCTACTTGGTGGCCATGAGTGTGCCACGGCACTCCAGTCTGGGCAGCAGAGGCTCCAAATCAAAGAAAGAAGGCCGACCAAAGGGGCTCCTTGGGGCTCTGTGCCCCAAACACGTACCCAGCGGGGTCAGGGTGCGGTCCTTCTCCAGGGAGCCATCCACGTGGTATTGGGAATGCCTGATGAGGAAGATGTGCCGTGTGGCCTTGGCTTTGCAGTGGTCCAGCCTAGACGCCAGCTCTTCTTCTCCGGACTCCACGTTCCTCTTCCGCAGGTTGATCAGAGACAGGGGTTCTCGCCTGATGTTGAAATACAAGATGATACATCCCCAGACCTGTTCCCAAGTCACCTCTGAGTAGTTCTGACAAGACGATATTTCCAATTTGTCAGCCTGAAAGGAGCCCCAGGGAGAAGCCAAGGCCTTCGGTCCATCCCAGAGAGACAGCCTCTCAGAGCACACCTCCACCCTCCACCCCGCTAGCTCCAGGCCTCTCTGGCTGGCAAGCAAAGCCGTGTGCAACTCCTGTTTGAGAGAGGAGAGGCAGACAATCGCAGCAGGAGGAGACAGCCCAGAATGTAACTGAGGATGCCACATCATAGAGGACTGTGGGAGGGCAGGGAGTGTCGACAGGGGGCCAGAGTGGTCTCACTAACAGGACACTTCAGAGCCTGTCCGATGGCAGCGACAAGTTACATGGCCGTTTAAATTCAAAATACTTAAAATTAGATAAAAACCAGAACTCCATCTCAGTTGCACTAAGTACATTTTGAGTCAGGATCTGGCTCCACCCAAGCTGAAGCCTTCACCTCCTAGGCTCAAGCAGTCCTCCCACCTCAGTCTCTTGAGTAGCTGGAACCACAGGCACCACACCCAGCTAATTTTTTTATTTTTGTAGAGTCGGGGTCTCGCTATGGTGCCCAGGCCAGACTCAAACTCCTGGGCTCAAGCGGTCATTCTGCCTGGGCCTCCCAAAGTGCTGGGATTACAGGCATCAGCCACTGCACCCAGCCTCACTCAGCACATTGTAAATACTTGGTAGCCACATGGGGTAGTGGCTATCACACTGGACACGGAAGAAGAAAACACTCCTGCCTTCAGGGAGGCCTGTTCCAGAGCTAACAGAGGAGGCTGGAGCCAGAGGTCAACATCTGGTGGCTCTCAGAACTGAAGCAAATAAAGGTTGAATGTTCAGGCGATCAGTGGTGCATATACGCCACAAAATAGCTATTCAGCCATAAAAAAGAATGAGACAGGCCAGATGCCATGGCTCACACCTGTAATTCCAGCACTTTGGGAGGCTAAGGCAGGAGGACTACTTGACCCAGCAGTTCAAGACCAGCCTAGGGAACATAGCAAGACCCCATCTCTATCAAAAAAGAAAAAAATTAGCTGGGCATGGCGGTGTGCATCTGCTGTCCCAGCTACTCAGGAGGCTGAAGCAGAAGCTGCGGTAGCTGTGATTGTGCAACTGCACTCTGGTCTGGGCCACAGAGTGAGATCTGACTCAAAAAAAAAAGGAAGAAAGAAAAAAAGAATGAAATCCTGTCTTTTGCAGCAACTTCGATGGAACTGGAGACCATCATCCTAAGTAAACTAATGTTGGAATGGAAAACCAAACACCGTGGATTGTCACTTGTAGATGGGAGCTCAACGAAAGGTCTACAAAGGCACAGAGACAGGGTCATGGACACTGGAGACTCAGAAGGGGGAAAACGGGGAAGGAAAGAAAATCACTTATCAGGCACCAAGTGCACGAGTGAGGGTAGAGGGTACACTCAAAGCCCAGACCTCTTCGCCCCTATACAATGCATACATGTAACCAAAAACCATTTGTACCCCTAAAGGTCTTGAAATAAATAAAAGTCAAATGAGGCAGACCTGGGAACAGCACAAGTGGAACCCGCCAGAACATACTCAGCGGAGACAGTGGTGGGAGAGGACGTTTTGGAAGGGCACAGTGGTGACTCAAGGGTTCTATGTGGGCCATGTGGACTGGGGTGCCTGTCACACGACCAGGCCGAGAGTCACAGGGACAAAGATGGGGGAGTCTGGGATGGAGCAGAAGAAACGTTTGGGAGCTACAGGCAGGAATGGGAAGTCAGGGCCGTGAGATTCCCAGGAGAGGCTGGAGGTTTCGCAAGACAGGGCCCCGAGCTTCCCTGCATGGACACAAGAGGACTTGCCCCCAACCGAGTCCGCTCACTGCCCCCCAGCCTCGGCCCCCATTCACAGGTCTGCGCGTCACAAGCAAATCAGCTTAAACCAGATACAGTGGGGCCCAACTGGTGGTGCTACTTCAAGTGAGTTCATTAGCCTCAGAGTGAATCTGTTCCTTTAAAGAGGCCTAAGAAAGCCAGGCTTGGTGGCTCAGCCTGTAATTCCAGCACTTTGGGAGGCTGAGGCAAGTGGATTGCCTAAGCCCATGGGTTTGAGACCAGCCCGGGTAACTTGACGAGACTTTGTCTCTATGTAAATAAAAATTAGCCGGGCACAGTAGCGCACACCTGTAGTTCCAGCTACTTGGAAGGTAAGGTGGAAGGATCGCCAGAGCCCAGCAGGTCTACACTGGGGTGGCCGTGAGTGTGCCACTGCACTCCAGCCTGGGTAACGGAGTGAGACCCCAACTCAAAAAATATCTTTTA